ACGTGCGTATAGTCGCTGTCAGTAATGATGTTTCGTAGAATGTTGAACTAAGTGTTTTAACCGAAGAGACAATTAAAAAACCGGAGATGCTCTATATAAGTACCAATCAGTAGCATTGCTTGCTAAAATGGTGTTAACCATTTTAAGTATATTGTATCGGAAATGGAATAGAGTCATTTTAAAAAAACGACACATGTTTTTAATTCCATTTCGCGTATATAAATTCCAAATCTTCTTTCTAGATCAATTAACTAAAACGATTTATTGCCCTTTAGTACTTTAATTGTGAAATTATTAGCGAGCATTTTTATTGCACTGATTTTACAGCATTTATTATTATCATTATTACTATTTTATGATTATTATTATTATTATTATTATTATTATTATTATTATTATTATTATTGTTATTATATTATTATACTATTTATTATGCAGTTATACAAAAATATAGAAAAAGTACTCTCTACTAATTTTAAATCAGTGACCCACTTTTCACTGATTCAGATTAAGAGAGTAAAGAATTAATAAAATTTTTAACTGATTTGAATTAGTGACGCACACTTTTGGCTTTTGAATTAGTTGAATTTTACTAATTCAATAATAACACTTTTTTTGTTTTCTATTATTTAGTTAAATTTTACTATTTCAAAAACAAAAAATGAGTCAATAATTCAAATTAGTTTAAATTTTTACCAATATTCAGATAGTTCTTCGTTTAATCTGACTTTTCTATTTTAGTCGCTAAATGATTCTATTTCTTTCAGCAAAATCTAATTATAAACTTTTAATACTGGTTTTTTATTTATTGCATTTTTCGATTAAGCTGTAAACTGTATACAACAACATTATAAAATAATATAATTACAGTAAATTCTGATTTCAAGATTTTCCAGTTTCTAAAGACATTAATGGCTTTTAAAATGAAAAAAATTTTATTACTACAATTCAGATTAGTTGTTTCATCCATATTAATAGTGTTGTATAATAAATTTATCTCTATTGGTAAAATAATAATGTGAATATAGTGAAAAATATTAATTATATATATATTACATTAGTGAGGAAAATTTGAGAACAACAAAGTGCGATTCCAAGTGAGATTTTGACTTTTTCGGAGTAGGTTAACCGATTGCAATGCAACTTTGGAATTTTGTTATATATAGTAAGACTAATCTTTAACGTAAATTTCAGCCTAAAATATTTGTTAGTTTACGAGATTTGCAATAATAACAAAAAATTTAAAACTGCTATATCTTCCGTTCTAATAAACGGATTGAGGTCTACTTTTTTTTAAAATGTCAAGGAAAATGAGAGGAATAAATATCTTTCAGAACATTTTTTTATAATTTTACAACTAAAAAAATTATTAAATAATAATTGAATAACTTTCGCGCGACTAACTAAAATTCAATCAATTAAACGCTAAAATGATCTGACCTGTGTTTTTTTTAATGTTCCAAAGGATTTTTAGTGTAAATGTAAGTTTAACTTAATAAATTTTATTAATTTATTAGTATAAACAATTGAGATTTCTGCTAGTTGACGTGCAGACGACATTGCGCACGCAGCATTCTCACATAGCCAATTTAGTCCACGAATCACGTCAGTTGGCTATGTGAGAATGCTGCGTGCGCAATGTCGTCTGCACGTCAACTAGCAGAAATCTCAATTGTTTATACTAATAAATTAATAAAATTTATTAAGTTAAACTTACATTTACACTAAAAATCCTTTGGAACATTAAAAAAAACACAGGTCAGATCATTTTAGCGTTTAATTGATTGAATTTTAGTTAGTCGCGCGAAAGTTATTCAATTATTATTTAATAATTTTTTTAGTTGTAAAATTATAAAAAAATATTCTGAAAGAGATTTATTCCTCTCATTTTCCTTGACATTTTAAAAAAAAGTAGACCTCAATCCGTTTATTAGAACGGAAGATATAGCAGTTTTAAATTTTTTGTTATTATTGCAAATCTCGTAAACTAACAAATATTTTAGGCTGAAATTTACGTTAAAGATTAGTCTTACTATATATAACAAAATTCCAAAGTTTCATTGCAATCGGTTAACCTACTCCGAAAAAGTCAAAATCTCACTTGGAATCGCACCAAAACAATAATAAGAATAACAATAATAATAAAAATAGTAATAATAATAGATAATTTTAATAAATTTTTGTAAAATGTAAGAGGGAGATAATTGAGAGTGACAATGAAATTGAATTGAAAAGGGTATATAGAAACGTTAGACAGATACCACGTGCGACTTGTGGGTTGATAAAACGATTACAAGTTCTTCATCTGACTGGAAAATCAGGGAATGAATCCTCGACGATGTAATGCACGAGGAACGATCAATCTATTGAGGTAGGGGGATTGGAATCGGGAGGCATGCTGCCAGGTAATTGAACGACCTTGGAATCTAGTCTGAACTTGACTCTTGCTTCTGTTGCATCTTTACTTCTCTCTTTCTTTGAGATAGAACTTGAAACTCCTGTCTTTTCAGATCCTGGTAATTTAGTAAACGATTTGAATAAAATTATACCAACAGGTGTTCTCCACACCAACTTCTTTTTATGTACATAGTCGCACTTATGGAAAATGACATAGAAGCAACTCCTTCTCGATGTTTCAATATTATAATTTAATAGTGTGTATCTTATATTCGTGAAACTATTTGGGTTCTTGTTATTAATAATACTGGTTTATCTTAACGCGATACTTGATATTATTTTCCTTTTATATTTATTTAAATTGTAGTTATTACTTGAGAGATATTTTAATTATATGGACTTGACTCTTGAAAGATTGTATCATTTTTATTCACTGCCAATTTAGATATCTTGTATCTTTTTTTTTTATTTTTACTTGAATAAATGATTGATCGATTAATTGTAGACATAAAATAAAATGAAAATTGGAAAAATAATAAAAAAATAATTTGCGGGTAAAAAAAAATATGATAAAGTTTGATGCTGTGGGAAGGGGAATGACTACGTCATTCGGCGCGTGCCACTGTAGCAAAAATGTCTCACTTTCTTGCCACAGAGTAAAAGGAGCAAGACGCGCATCTCTCATCCACGAAGCATGTGTTACTGAAACCTCGAAGAGCTAGGAGCTTCCTCTTCATGTTGCGTAAGGCCATTCCGCACCACTCACTATATACACAGACACATCTGGTAGGCCAAGCTCTTTGACTCAACTGCGGCCGCAAAATGTCTATCTACGTCACTTTAGATTGCTCTCTCATTTCTGCTCTCTTTTTCCACTTTCCGGATCGTTTTGCCTCTTATATTTCTCCTAGCATCATTCTTTTGATCCTTTGTAGATTCTTTCAGCCAAGCACGGCAAATCTACTTTTTCTATTCCAATGATCCTGAATCATGACCAAATCCGTCGAACTGCATTTTCATCAACTTTTTCTTCTTTTCATATATATAAAAAAGAAAAAATATTTCATGAATCTTGCTTGTTAGCAAAACTCTTTACAATGTAAAGATTTATTGGAAAAGACAGTAATCATCTTCTCGTTTCGTTTTAGTCACACTTTGAAAAAAAAGAGCTATATTTATCAGGAAAAAGCAATTAAAAGAAGGTTTTCATTTTATATCCAAGAAATGTTGGGGCGTGTAAAGTAATTAATTGTTTTGTGTCGATCTAATCAATTAAATTTTATTTTTTGGTTTAAAATCCAAAACCAAATAGGGAATATTTCTACCGATTTGGTTTGGATTCATAAATTAGTTGATAGGGGCCGTTCATAAATTAGATAATACGTATTGTAGTTCGAGAAAATGTTATCATTTTACATAGTTCCAAAAATCATAATTTTTGACAAAAAAACAGTGCTAAAAATTTAAATTTCGATATTTTAAAAACCCTTCGTAGAAGTGTGCAAAATTTTAGATAGATCTGTCTATTATTTTTTGAGAAATCCTGCATGATTATAGAAAAAGTATAATAATCGACAATTTTTTTTTGTTTTTTGCAAAACGTTAATGCAAATGTTTTTAAAAATTACGTAAGTCATATAGGGGGAGGGAGTTTAAACGATTTTGTTACCACTTGTTACATAGAGATAGGGGGGTTAAAAATTTCAATAAAACCGTGTTATGTATTTTATGGATGGCCCCATAGTAAAATACCCCTTGTATGTTATTCAAGAGACTTAATTTATGAATTAGTTTGATTTGAGTGTTTATTCTGGTTTGATTTTGAGATTTCCTTGCGGCTTAGATTGGATTTTGTTGACGGTGCAATTATAAAATAAAGGGGAAAACTTTTCTCCTTTATGCCTCTGTATATGGTGACTCTTCTTAATTGTATGAATAATAGAGTAGCAGCGCCAAAAAGGCTTCGTTTAACTCGACGATATAACTGAGTGTTGTCTGTGTATAGCGTCAAGAAAGGGTCTCTTATTGAAAACCTCAAGGGTGGATAAACGCGGCATGCAAATAAGAATCGGAAGGGCGATTATCTCCAGTACGTTGGCTTTAGCCTCGGGGGAAAGTTTTTTTTTTTTTTTTTTTTTTTGTTTTACATGTACGGATAACTTTATCCAAGTGAGTCCATAATCGACGACACAGGAAAAACAAAATAATCTTGCGTGCAGTTGACTATCTAACACCCTACTTGTAAAAATATTCATTTTATTATTATAAATTAATTTTTTTACATTGCGGAATATTTTAAGTTTTCGATGCGAAATAAATTATTATCCAATCTTTTGATATTATTATCTCTCAGGAGACACACGGAGTCTTTCTTCAAAAATGTGAATGAAATTTCGTTTTTTTCTTGTTTTTAAAGGTATTCTCAAAATTGTTAGAGTGCTGTATTTAGAGAGAAAAAAATCTTCATATCTTAATTTTTGACTTTGTGCCTGAATCTTTGGCAATGAATTTGAGGTGGAATATTAATTTTGGATATATATGTCAAAATAATTTGTCTTACTTAAAATATGCTGGAATAAATATTTATGATTGTTGCGACTTACCGAACCGTAAAGAAGACCGCAGGAGTCCATGCAAAGGTAGAGGCAGGTGGCAACACCCTGTATCCTTAGTTGACCCCTCGACACCGACATCCTCTGAAAAATAGCTGTAAAGAGAAAAAGGTTGACGATAATCTGACGGTATAAAAAATAAGTCAAAAGTCACGATTAATTTCACAGATTAACCGTTATAAAATTATTTGCATATATGATTTTCTTCAATCAAAATCATGTATAAATCTGATTTGAATTATTAAAATAGAAAATAATTAAAAAAATGTTAAAAATTAATAAACTAATTAGTTAAATAATTTTAATTATAGAATTAGACGTTTAATTACATAATTAATTGACTAATTATATAAATATTTAAGTTAATTAAACGAAAATATTAATTTATGTTACTTATATTTTAAGATTTGTGTATTTCAAAAAAGAGAATATGTAATAACTTTTATTACATGTGAATGAAATTTTTTTTTTGTTTCTGATTCGAAATCTATTAAGAGAATGAACAAGCAGTAGAATAAATTACGTGTGTTCCGACATAGCGTAGGAAAAGTTAAAACTGATACAGCTTGTTAATTCTTTCACTGGAGTCCGGCTCTACGTAATTTGTTCCACTTTGAATATTTCATGAGTAAGAAATAATGTACTTTTGCAAAGTAAAATATAATATTTTCTAAAAAAAATATATATATATTTTCAGTTTTCATGGTTATAATTGAAAATTATTTATCAAATTATTATTATTATATATTATATTATATATTATTATATGAATAAATATAATATATAAATAAATATTATATATAAATAATAAATATATACACATAGGAATATGAATCTTTTTAAATATATTTTATTATCAAGTGTGTTTATAATTTTCTTTTTTTTTTCGTTCAACTTTCGCCACGATTGCAATTGGAAATAACATAATTTGGCATTTTTGTTTTATACAAATAAGTTTGTCGTGTTCTCTGAAGCGCGAAAATTATTCTAATTCATTCAGAATTTGACAAGCGAGCAATGGCAATGAAATATTATTTATAGTATATATACCGAAGGCTGCGAAGATCTTGACTCGTATAGTTTTGGATTTTTTTCTTCTTCTTTCTTTTTTTTTCTCTTCCGTTACGCGCATTGAGTTAATTGAGGCAGGAATACTTTTTAACGATGATTTGTTGCATTTGTCAAAAAAAAAAAAAAAAAAAAAATGTCAATCACAATCGTACAAATTATAATTAATTATTATTCATTCACTTTGAATACATAATTTTAAAGTTTATTAGAAAAGTGAGTAATTTTTTTTTTATTTTACTCTCTTTCATATATATATACCAGTTTTATTTACATTCGCGTTTTTTTTTCAAAGCACATTTATCCCAAGCGCTTAAAATAAATGGACTTGTCCCTGAAAAAAGTCTCATAAGCGGAAATCATTTCCTTGAATGCAGTGACCACTTTCAGTAAATTATAGTAATCAAGTTGTGAGATCTATAACTTTCTCGTTGGGAATAGTACCGCCTTTGGAGGCACATATTATAGTATCGAATTTGAAGAGACGCTTGTTCGATAAATCCGAGAAAATTTCTTGTCGCATCGTTGTTTCTCATATTGCAACTTCCGGGAAGTTATATTCACAAGTGACATCGTTCCCATCAGAGTCTTTCCGCAAAATATGTAAATTATTCATCACTTATGGAAAATTATGTCAAGTATGAAAATTTTCAGTCATAATTTATATTTTTAGGTCTTTGGGGGGGGATTCCTTTTTTATAAAGGCTTTTTTGAATATATTTAAGATTTGTCTGACTTTTACGGATATCTTCACTCGCGAGTGACATCTTTTTTAGATGAATTATAAAATATATTTTCATTGAACGATGTGAAGCGTTATCGATGGTGATAAAGTTATCTTTCGATTTGTCAGCGATTTGTAGATCGAGTCTCTTGAAAATACGCTACCAAAGTGGACACTTGGTATGCAAATTTACCTTCAATATTCTTCTAATGTACGCACCACTCGCTCACGAACATTAATTTCCAACACACATTAACTGTATGACCAAGTGCAGTTAATGACCTCTTCTATTAACAAACGTCAGCACTCTAATTGAGAAGGAGAATGAGATTTTTTTTTTACTTAGCACGAAACTATTTATATAATTTCCTTTACAAATTACCTGTAGATTTTTGCTATGAATTTAGTTTTTTTGTTAATAGTGTGAATTCGATTTGCTTATATTTTTTGGATCGTAAACATCTGATCAAATCGACGTCCTGTGGATATGATTAATTATTAATGAAAATTTTACGACTCAATTTTGAATTTTGACAATGTTGTCCTGACACATATGTCAGATATCTTTAGGTGACATTTTAATGTTTTTTCACATTTTATAAATATCTCGGTGATTTGAAAAAAAAAAATTTCCATTTCACAGCTATGCCTTTGTCGTTTTATTATATTTGTAACACTTGATACGAATGCCTCTATATATCCTTCTGATTCTTTACGATGTCGTAAAATCTATTTCTAAGAATTGCAAAAATTTACATAGATTGAAGCTAAAAGTGGAAAAAAATATTTCACATTTATTTATTCATATATTTATAAAAAATATATAAATATATTTAAAATATAGTTTAAAAAAATAAATTTTTAGTTAATCTAAAAAATTATTTCTCGATATAGACGTGACAATTTCCTGTCTGACAATTGGAGTGTAATTATATGATGAGCTTGCATAATATTTTGAGATGTTTGATGTCATTTTTGTCTCATCATCACGACAAAAAACGTCATCAGATTGCAATTGATAAACATTGCTCATTAATTAATCTATTAGTCTGCATAGTACGTGCCGATTCACACGAAGCTATGCTCGAGGTGACACTAAACTGCACGTAGATATTTACTGTCAAGTTTGTGGGGGCGTCATAATATGCAATTTATACCGAAATGAACCTTTCAGTGCTTGTGGAATTTATATTTCCTCCCCTCCCGCGCTACCGGTGCAAGGTCACAGTTACGCGAATATATAACGTAAACGTCATATTCCACATATATATGCAAGCGACAGTTGTACGTGAATTAAATCACGCATTCTCGATTATAATTGTATGTATATGCTTTTGAATGATTAAAAGCGGAACTATATAATACGAATTCTGCATAATGTAAATGTCAATGCCGTTATATATGATCATTTTTTTTCATTAAAATCTGATGTTAATTTTTTGGAAGTTTTTTTTCTATTTTTTTTAAAGGCTATTTATAACTTGAACATAAATTCGGATTCGAAAATATGTTTTGCATTACTGGAAGAAGAGACCGAACTTTTTGCTTATTTTTGATATTAGAAATAAAATAATTAAATTTTTTAAGTAGGAGAAATAGAAAATTAGTAAATTTATTTGATTCAAATATTTGATTACTTGACAATTACCAAAGAAATATTTTCTTGAACCAAATAATTTTTATTTGAATTAACTACTATTGATTCAAATACAGTTTTTTAATTGAAATAAAAATTGTTTGATTCAAGTAAATATTTATTTGATAATAGTAAAAGTAACCAATTATTTGAAAAGATTTTTTTTTTCTGTAATAATAAAAGAAGTGGTGAGAGGATTTTGAAAATAGAATTTTGCAATCATCACACATTGTAGATTATATTCAGTAGTTGACTTGTAGCCGTAAGGAAGTTGCGAATATATGAAATGTTTTGTCAAAATAAATGTAGAACAACAGAAGTCAGTAACCGCAGGTTATGTCAGTTCACCGACATTCATTCCAAGCACCGAAATAGGATCACATCTCTAGAAGTCGTCTGTCATATTATATACTCTATGGTACTTAGTGTTTTCAAACTTGTCTCTTTGGTTTAATTATTTCGAACAAATTCACTTAATGAACTGCAACATTATCCCCTTGAAACTCATTGTCTTTTGAATTAATTATTTTCACAAATATCTATTGTGAAAATTTTCATACATATATATAAATCTTCATTTAGAACATTTTTTCTTTTACCCATTTTTCATCGAATTTGATTCCTAGTTTTACAAATTTTTATAATAGATTCTATTATTATAGTTGGATTTTATTCTTAAATTGAAAAAAAAATTTTATTTCCTTGTATTCGAAATCAATTTTCAACTTGGCACACATAACGAGAGACATTTTTTTTACCCTCTTTATTTTTCCTTTTTTTTTTCTCGGAGGCTGAATAGCAAATTACCATAGGACAATATGTAAATGCGATCGGAATGGGGCGAGAGTGTTATACTTTGAGAAAGTTTCAAAGAAGGGCCAAAAGCTTAAATTCTGAATCCCCCTGGATTAACACTCTCTCTCGCGCGCACGGGGTTTCTATAAAAATTCCAGACATCTTATTTTCTTAAACTCTGGTGAGCGCGCGGAAAGAGAATATACGATCCTGGCAAAACTCTGCAGGCGAAGACTAATGCACAAAAACAAAGTCTTAAAAAGAAACTAATGAGGATGTTTCTGTCAGAGGATATAGTATACACACAAAAGAATAATGAAAAATAACCTCGGCGTGAAATAGTAAAATAAAAAATAGTAGCTCAGAAAAAAGTAATTTTATATTTTTTTCGAGGAAAATTCCTCTAAATATAAAAACATATAAAATATTCCTCTTCAAAATGAAACATTTTGAGTAACAAAAAAATATTCTTTACCGAAAAAAAAAATTTTTTTATCTTGCCTTGTTAAAATCATAATTTTTATTTTATAACAATTTTTGAATTTGAGAATATTAGAAATATTTTTTGAAAGTGTTTCTAAACGGTATTTGGAACAAAAAATTGTGATGTACAACTTTGAATAACTTTATTTATATAATATATGAGTAGAAAAATATAAAGATTACGTACTTTAGTCATAGATTTTGCCTGTAGGATACAGTAATATTTCCTATTTTTAACAAAATGTTAAACTCGTGTATTAAGGTATCATATGACTATATGAAAATATAAGAACAGGTTGGAAGCAATAACCATTAAAATGATAGAATCTTTGAGGTAAATACCTGGATTAAGTAATTTAGATTGTATCACGCCCTTATATTCCTTGATT